GCCAAGGGTTTGGTGAATATATCGGCCAACTGATCGAAGCTTCTTGTATAATGCGTCTGACAGAATCACCTACTTGACTGTGCACTTGTTCATTCAGTACACTAGTGACAGTCTGACCATATTAATGTGATTTTGTTTCCTGCCCAATCCGCATCGCAGATGATTCATCTTCATGATGATGCCACGCCACGGACCCTTTTAAGTAACGTAAGATCCTTTTGACAAGGTTCAAATGATCAATTGTGGAAGAGTGCATGAATTGACTAGCGATACTCACTGAATATGTGATGTCAGGCATGGTGATTGTTAGATAGATTAACTTACCAACCAGTCTCTGATAGTGGCTGATATCCGAGAGTCACGTGCCCCCCAAGTCAAGTTTGAGCTTGCTATCGAGAGGAGTGTTTGCAAGCTTAGCATCACTCATTTTAGCGTCCTTGAGTAGGTCCAGGATGTATTTGCGTTGATTAAGAAATAGTCCCTTGTGAGAAGTTGCCATCTTTATTCCAAGAAAGTACTTCAACACCCCAAGATCTTTAATTGCAAATCTTTGTTGAAGTGACTGTTTGAGTTTGGAAATCTCTTCAGCATTAATTATTAAGTCATCCACATATATCAACACAACCAATTTGCCCACAGCTCCAGTGCGAACAAACAATGATGAATCTGCATTGCTTCTTGTGAAACCAACACTATTAAGCACTGAACTTAGTTTGGCATACCAAGCTTGTGGAGATTGCTTCAGTCCATAAATCGATTTGTGCAATTTACACACTAAATCAGGCTCATGGCTTTGAGGATGCCCTGGTGGCAATTTCATATAGACCTTTTCTTCAAGATCACCATGTAGAAATGCATTCTTCACATCCATTTGGTACATGGACCAACCCTTATTAACAGCAACGGACAATAGAACCCTAATTGAGTTCATTTTTGCAACAGGTGCAAAAGTTTCTTTGTAATCCACCTCAAATGTTTGTGTGAATCCCCGAGCCACCAGCCTTGCTTTATGCCTCTCAATTGAACTATCTGAATTAAACTTGATCTTATAGATCCATTTGCAACCCACTGCCTTTTTTCCTTTTGGAAGTTTGGTGATGCTCCAGGTTTTGTGTAGGTCTAGTGCTTTGAGTTCTTCTCTCATTGCTTCTTTCCACACATCTTGGTTGTTAGCCTCATGAAAGTTTTGAGGCTCACTGTGACTTGAGATGGTGCTAAGAAATGCAGCATGAGATGGAGTCAACTTTTGATACGACCATAATTGGAGATTGGATGCTTGGGATTGTATGTGACAAAATCTTGAAACCTTGTAGGAGGTTGTCTATTACGCATAGGATTGCGTTGTGGTGCTAGTACAGTTGTCTCACACTTGTTCAAATTTTCAGCCACACTTTGAAGATTATCTTGGTTGTCGCCGTCATCATCAAGCATAGAACCATTAGAATGAATGCCTTCATTGTTACCTTCAGTGGGTGGTGCATGTGGTTCACCATTATTGGAACCTCTTCTTGTTGAAGCATTATTGAGCCCGATTCTTGGTAGAGGAAACACATTAAAGATACACTCCCCCTGACTTGTGGTTTCAAGGGACTTGCTGAAAAAAGGATTAGTTTCATGGAATCGAACATCTTTAGATACAATCATTTTTCTCAGCTGAGGATCATAGCACTTATATCCCTTTTGTGTTGATGAATAACCAAGAAAAATACATTTGAGAGCTCTAGGATCCAATTTATCTCGATGATGTGGTTGAACATGAGTAAAGCAGACACAACCAAAGACTCTAAGATGTGAAAGGTCAATTTTCCTTCCTTTCATGACCTCAAGAGGAGATTTAAAATCTAAGACTCGGCTATGAAGTCTATTGATGATGTAGACAGCAGCCATGACTCCTTGGGACCAAAATCTTTTTGGTACATTCATTTGTAACATTAATGCTCTAGTTTTTTCAAGGATGTCACGATTTTTTCTTTCAGCTACACCATTTTGTTAAGGTGTGCCAACACAACTTGTTTGATGCATGATGCCATGATTGCTCAAATATTGTGTCATGATATGGGACATGTATTCGGTGCCATTGTCAGATCTTAAGGTTTGAATTTGAGAGGAGAAATGGTTCTTAACAAGATTATTAAAATCCTTAAACACTTCCATCACTTCACTCTTAGACTTTAAAAGGTACAACCATGTGGTTCTAGAGAAATCATCAACAAATATTACATAATATTTATAACCGTCAAAAGATTCACATGTTGGTCCCCATACATCTGAGTGAACAAGTTCAAACAACTTACTGGCCCTAGATAAGGATGAGTTAAAAAGCAATCTAGTGGCCTTAGATAAATGACAGGTTTCACATGGAATTAAAACCTTCCCTAAGTTTCGAAACAAAGAAGACAAAATAGGTTGAGAAGGATGAGCTAGACGTTGATGCCACAATTGATTATTTTAGGATGAATTGGACTTGGCTTGAAACCCTCTGGAAATGCTCTTTGATATGTAATAGAGACCATCTAGATAAAACCCTTCACCAATCGTCTTCTTGGTGACACAATCCTGAAAATGACATTATGAGAAGAGAAGATGGCTAAACAATTCAAGGTATTGGTGATTTTTCCCACAGATAGGAGTTGGAAAGGAAAAGAAGGAACATATAAGGCCACTGACTCAATTTTGTCCGACATTAAGTTGATTTTTCCTTTTCCTAAAACCTCGGCACTTTCACCATTTGCAATTGACACTTGAGAAGGTTTTGATAATTTTTCAAACTTATGAAACTTAGAAACTTGGTTGGTCATATGATCTGTGGCACCCGAATCAACAACCCAAAAATCATGCAACATATTTACATTAAGAGCAGTTTTGAATGAATTCATGATACCTTGCATGTCTTCTTGAGGTATGTGTTTAGTGTCTGCCTGGAAACCAGCAAACTTGCCTAGCAAAGCTGTTGAGTTTCCATCTTCAAAACTGACCGTTTGATCACTTTCAGTCCCTCATTTCTTGCTTCGAAGATACGCTGCAAACTCATTTATGAGTGCAGTCGGATTTGCTGTGAAGCTCTTGAGTGTGTCAGACCTATTTAAGGTTGAGGCAGATGCATGGTTGGCTTTGTGTGTAGCTCGGTTCAGCTTCTGAAAGCCCTTGTTGTCCTTCATAAAATCAGATTTTAATTCTGGATGTAAAATTCAGCATGTCTCCTTAACATGACCGGTCTAGTTACAGTTTTGGCACTTCAAGTGTGGATTCTTCCCTTTGTATTTTCTTTCGTTGGTTAGATAGGCCGTAGCTTCAGATACATTGGTCTTTGTACCAATGTTCATGACTTTCCTTCGCACTTCTTCACGTTGGATTGTTGCACATACACTGGTGAATGAAGGCAATTCGGTGTTCAAAAGTATGTGGCTTCATAGGTCTTCATATTCTGCATCGAGACTTGACAAGAATTGGAATATCTTGTCTTCTTCTGCCCTCTTCAGTAGCACAGACGCTTCAGTTGTATGGGGTCGATACAATTCCAACTCATTCCACATGCTCTTCATGCTACCTAGAAGTTGTACAAAGGGCTTTCCTTCTTGTTGCAAGTTGGAAATGTCCTTCTTTAATTGAAACACACGTGCAGCATTGTTCTGACTGCTGTACATTTCCTTGACAGTCTCCCATAGCTTGAATGATGATTCAGAATAACTGAATATTTCAGCTAGTTTACGTTCCATGGAATTTAGGAGCCAGGACATAACTAGCTGATCCTTACAAAGCCAGGTCTCATAAGTTGAAGAGGAAGCATCAGGAACTTCGATGCTTCCATTTATGAACCCTAACTTGGACCTTCCACCTAGGGCAAGACTTACTGCTCTTGACCAAGGCAAGTAATTAAACTCATTCAACAAGATTGAGCTTAACTTTGATTAGGGTTGACATCCATCTCAGACACATTCAATGAGGAAAGGACCTGTGAACTTTCAGCTTCAGACCTAGAAGGATTTTCTTCCGCCATATTGAAGGTTGAATAAGATCGGATAATAGTAATGCAGAAGCAGGTTATTTTCCCTGCTCTGATACCATATTGCTTTTCAAAGATTGTTTTGTATTTATTTTTATTATCTGCAACGTAACTCTACAGCCAAATATAAGGAGGCTATCCCTCCTTCCTTAATTTATGCCATAATGAGTGGCTTTAGGAAAGCTAACAGCAGCGTTAGTAAAGCTTACAGGCAGCTTTAGGAAAGCTAACAACAGCTCCTTGAATTAAGAAGTTGCCCACTATACAAGAAGTGCTAAACACAAGAAAAATAAAAGACAGCCTTGTCCAAGACTTCCAATAAATTGAAATATCAATCAAGATAGGAATAAATCACAGAGAAATTCAAGTGCTAACGCAGAAGAAAATCGGGTTATTAATCTAGCGTTACTTCTGTATTCAATGTTGAAAAAATGTAACGAACTTGAATACCCAACACAAAGAAAGTAAAATAAATCATTTCATAAGTGGTCCAGCATCAAATCTAAACAGCTCAAAGAAATGAGAAAAAAAATTGAACAAATCCATACAAAAAATAAAGCAACTTTCCACTTATCCAAATCAAAAACCAACTTCCCACCTATCCAAATCAAAAAGCCCTAACCCACCAAACTTCCTATTGGAATCCACCTCACCACCAGATTCTCATAACAAGGAAACAGACGAAAGGAGAGGAAAAGCAATGCAGAGACAATCAAAGATAGGAAAGAACCAAGTGTACCACACTCTTATCACCATCTGCCTCTGCAATAATTTATTTAAAGATTCTAAGTTGCTTGGGGTTTTAATCGTTAGATCTTGATGACCGTATCTTTGATCAAGAATCCAACGATTGAAAACTCCGGAGTATAGAATACTTCAAAGTACACTAGAAAATTGCATCAGCTGCAAATTGCACCATCTTTCACTTTCTTGAAAGAAGATGTTCTACTTTGTTCACTGGAACTAATCCAAAGCAATTAAAAAAAGAGCACACAGCTCAGGAAAAATAAATAAATATATTTATTTCTTAATTTCATTACAGTATCAAAGATGCGTCTGACATTGGAAGAAAGAAAAAAGTTGCTCAAAATAATATAAACAAAAAATGGTAAAACAAGAGCTTCTGCAGTTTTGCTTTTAAATAACAAATAATTTAAGGGTAAAAAAGAAATTTAAATACCTAAGTAACGATAGACTTGGGACTTGAGAGAGAAGATCCTTCACCTGGGTTGGTCTTCTCATAGAGTTTTATTCGTGAGGATTGACTTTCCCGGTCTAGATTTATTATTGAGTAGGTTTGTTTGGGCTCTTGCTTTTAGCCCCGTTTTTCAACCAAAAAAAAAAAAATGAATGGTTCTTTTCTGTAGACTTTGTTCAGTATCCTCCTTCTAGTGTTACTGTTACCAACCCACTCAAGAATTTGTATTTCTGTTGTAACTACCTCCGACTCCAAGCCCAGTAAAAATGATTTCGTTTTCACTCAGCAACATGTTGGTAAACCTGCAACTGCTCAATCCCTGCTTTGGAAACTGCATGACGTTTCAATTAGAACACTCGATAGGTAGCAGTGTGCCTGATTCTGGAACAGATGTGATTTCCTTTGCATCAGATGGTGATTCCTTCACCAGAGATTGAATCCATGAAACATCAGGCTCGTTGACATTGTGTTCTGTATAACTTAATTTGCTTAAATGACCCGGCTCATCTGTTTGAACAGACCAATCTAGTTTTGCACTGCTAGACTCCCATTTTGACATAGACATAGGGGAACCAACACCATTGGATCCAGCATCACATGAGTTGGGGCTGTATAGCGGCTTCTGCTTCTCTTGCTGAGCAAGAGTAGAGACCCTAGTGCCTATTGGAGAAAGAGGCTCCATGCTTCGAGGTGACATCATCCTCAGTGAGGAAAGACCAAATGGAACTTGCAAGAGATTCTGGTCAACCAACCTTGGAGAGAACACATTTGTTCTGATAGGAGATAACATTGATTGTTGCTGGTGGAGTTGATTGCGAACAATAGATATTTTTGAGGATGAGAAAGCAGATGAGTTTGCAAGTTGGTCAGCAAATCGAGGGGATGAGAGATGGGAAGCGAAAACATCATTGAGATTTGAAGGTGTCAAGGTTTCTTGACGGCGAGGATGACTCATTGAGGAAGCACTGATGTACGAATGCGAGAAGGAAGACCCATCATGAAATGATTGCTGTTGTTCCATTTCAAAATTATGCAACATGTTAACCTCCTCGGTAGGAACATTATTTGCATTAAAAGAAGATCTCAGACGACTTGCCTGAATATTGCTGCCTGGTAGATACAAACCGGGGATATATTGTTGAGGCCATGCCATGGAAGAGTCGAAAATACCATCATGAAGAGACATGGGAGGAGTAAAAGGAGGTGACATGGCCTGCACAGCTTTGGTCGAGCCAGGCAGCACGTTCAAAGTTGCAGCCATGTCCATGAAAGCAGCAGCAGAGGTTGCTGAATGAGGGGATGGCATGGCAGATCCAGTAGAAACATACAAGGGTCGCATTTCCTCAGGTTTGTGGGCAAAGAAGCAAACCTGACGCAAGCAACTCATGCCATCTTTGCAGAGTCGAGTCTTATACTGTGCTGGATGAAGCCAGCACTCAAAAACCCCATGAGCATATTCACATAAATCTCCACGTCTACATGTCCCCTTGCGAAAATCCAAGCATGGCATACAACTATACTGGAACTTTCTCGGGTCTCTTCTCCTTGCATTCTCACCAGGATGCACAAAAGGGCATTCAGTCCAATCATGTGAATAGGCTCGCGAACAAGGCCGGATCTTGAATGAAAACATTCGAAACTCATCTGTGGCATAAATGCTATCCTTGATGTTGGGAAGTGACAGATCAAAAGGGTGTTCTTTCTTTTCAGGTGTAGAAGAACCATGTATGTCATAAGTGTTACATGTTGAATCAGGGATTGATGATGGCAAGGAATTATTTGTCGGAGTCGTTGAAAGAAATGGTGAACTAAATCCAAAACTAACACTTAAAGCATGGACTGAACCACCATATTGTAAGAGCTCTTGAAGCACAACCTTCAGATTGGAACAATTCAGAGGAGCAACAATAACATCTAAAGGGAAACATCCGTTGGCATCAGTAGCATTGGGATCTGCACCAGCCTGCAGAAGAACCTTCACAGTTTCAACAGCTTTTTCAGACCCACCAGACACAGCACAGTGAAGGGCAGTGGTCTTATCTGGGCCGAGAGAGAAGTTTACATCCGCCTTTGAAAGAGAGAGAATCAGTTTCACAACGTCAACACTACCATACTTAGAAGCGACCATTAACGGAGTCCTATACTCAAGAACCATTCGTCTTGAAGCGCTATGGCGACCATACCAAAGTCCAATCTCATTAACCACAGCAGGGTCGCTGATAGACTGCTTAAAGCCCTTGACGTCGTTATCAGCTGCAAGCTCAAGCAAACTGGAGAAAGAATGTTCAGCTTCAACTGTTTTCAATGGAGTACCATGAATTTATTCAGTATCACTCTTGGGAAGATAGTGGAACGGGAGACTGAGAACTTAAATGCTCCAGGACACCACACATGTTTCAATGAATAAATTTACCTGAAAGAGACACGAGGCCGAAAGAGAATCATATACCATAATGCAAAAGACAATACAGAATCATATCCTTATCACATTTGAAAACAAATTTGGAATCGTAATATGATATGGATTCCTCAACAAAAATCCTTTTGAAAAGGAGAAAATAAGATACCCTCATCTGCAAGAGGAATAAATCAGTAATACAAGAGACTTGAGACTAGAACTGTTAAGGAAGAACAGGAAAGTCATTAACTGTTGTTTACCAATATGAAAACAAAGATTACCAGAAATTACAATTTGCTTAACATAAAAAGCCCGAGAAAATTCCGAGGTTGAAAGCAAAATCACTAGAAAATCTCATTGTGAAAAGAATATCTTTTTTTTTAAGAAATAAAATTCCTTAGAAAGCCAAAATCTTCCATTTAAATCCGGCTATCAATTGCACAAAAAAGTTATGAAATTTATAAAATAATTAAAAGGAAAAAGAAAAAGATGGTAAGAAATTTGTGCTCTGCTTAGTAAATTGAACTTTGAATTATATGATGATGGGTTCTTTTTTTCTGCCTTCTCTCCCGCCATGATATCAGTTTTTGTCGGTTAAAAAAAATTCAAATTTTAAATATTTTTCATTTTCCTACACTTTCTCAGCAACCAAACAGAAAATAAGCGACCACCAAATACAATGCAACCAAAGATTGAATCATCTACATACAAACGCCATCTCAAATTTCAAAATTTGAATACCATCAACTCAAATAAACACTATAATTTCCCATCTGAAATCATAAATCAATATAGATGAATGAAAAACAAATAAAACGAAGATGGACTTACAAAACAAAGGGCATATAAATTAGTAGGTATATGCAATTAGAACCAATGGAGCCGTCATTGTGGGTGTGGGTCACCAATAAGAAATAAGTACGTTATCATTATCTACAACTGCATCATTTAGTTTAAAGAATTTGATCTCCCTAGCATTAATTACCTATATTTTATTATTTATAATATAAAAAGTATGGTTAAGTGCGAATAACTACTCAATATTTTGAGGTGATTTCAAATTAATCTAAATTTCTTAAAATATTTTAAATAATTGCTCCAAGTTTTGAAAATTTGGATTTGTTAGGTCATCGGCGTTAAGTGATGATTTTTGTTATGTCCCAACCTACAAATAAGAACTATTCACGAATTAGGGTGTAAGCCACATCTTAAATTCTATAACCAAGACATGATAAGGAAAAATTAAAATATATGTAACTGAAACACAATACATCGTATAACAAATTTTACATAATCTTGAGTTTACTACATAAATTTTCTCGAAACGCAGCAAAAGAAAACTAGTGCACAAATTACATCACAACCGAATAAAAATAATAATTGAAATGAGTAATTCTTGCAAATACATAAATATGTGCCATGAGATGTGTGAATGTACTCACTCCCTTCTAATCTCGCTAACACATACCCAAGGCCTGCATGTTCCATACCATGCTTATTTCACTTGGCTATGAATACCTTAGAATATGAGTTAACTCCTGTTCATCCCTTAAGCCCAAATTTTATAATTAAATTCTCAATTTCACTTTGTTATATAGGCACTTCCCCCGAAGCCTAGTTGCATTCAAGTTCTTCACGCAACGTCTGACATATACAAGATTTCATTATTTTATAATCAACCAATTTGTATACTCAAGCCATTTCCCCCAACGCCTGACATTTACAAGATTCATTGTTTTATATTCAAGGCATTCTTCATCCCTTGAATATCCTCACAACTCAACTCTCTTTCTTGCTATGCAATGCATATCAATATGTCATATTCACATAGATATCAATAATCACATTTTCTCTAACAAGCTTTCAAGTTTCAACATAAATAAAACTGATTAGTAACAAGAGTAATATAATCATAATATCAACAACAAAGTAATAATCTTTTATTTTTTTGTCAAACGATAGATATTATTACATTATATGTTAAATTTTAGACACCAACGGGGTTTGAACCCACGCCTTCATGCAAGGGCTCAACTCATTTCCACCACTGTGGTAAAATGTCACTTGTCAAAGTAATAATCTTTAACAACACAAATGATAAACAATACGTTACCATTTCTCCTTTTTATTGTTTTCAATTTCATTTCCTCCCTCTTGTTCTCTTCCTTCCTTCGCCACTTTCCCTTTCTCTTCTTTAATGTAGCTGAAATTCTAAATATGTAATATGAGTCGAATTGCTGAAAAACTTCCGTGAAAGTGAGCGACAGAAAACTGGAGATGTTGGCCATGCAAAGAGGATGGCCAAGAAGGCTAGCTCAACCACACATCTGCTGTTCGAACTGGCATACAAGTCAACATATAGATTGGATTGTTGTGATTTTTGGATATGTTATACAAGAGACGATAAGGAGCAACTTTTATAAAGGAAGTATTTCTGTTTGAGCTAAGGAAGTTGGAGTTTTTAAGCTCCAAAGATGACTGCAGGATTTTCTGTGAGACTTTCAAGGTTGTGATAGTATTTCGAGGATCTGGAATGAATGGACTGTTGGATCTTTCTGTGATTTGGATATGTTATGGTAAATAGGATAAGTAACAACTTCTATGAAGAGAGTAGTTTTTTTTTTAATAAGAAAAAATAGATTTTTGAAGCTCACAACCGGCCTGACTGATTGACAGACAAAGGATGAACAACCACTAGTTATACCTGAGCTTCTGAGGTTGTACTACTCCAATGGATCTCAAATTTGGATATGGTGTAGTTCACAAGTAAACGAATAACTTTCATGGAGAAGGAGTTACGTTTTGAGCTACAGAAAATGGTGTTTTGGTATGCTAAACAGGCATGACGAATTTCTAGGTTTTAGATATCTTTCTTTTGATAACCAGATGAAAATGATGATGAGTTTGGTGGAGAGATATGTTGGGTAAGTTCTTATGTATTTTTTGGGATTTGTCTCTCATTTATTTACATGATTCTCAGGGTGGAGTAAAGGGAGATTTTCGATGGTTTGGTGGGAGTACTTTTTATGGCAATGATCTCAATGGAGTTGTTCTTTTTTCTTTTTCTTTTTTTTGCTTCTTCCTCTCTCTTCTTCATTCAGTTGGTTTGTGCCCTTCCTTTAGAAGGATTGCATGGCATCCTCCTTCCCATGTAGTTTGAGAATGAAAGCTCCAAAGTGTGCCATTAGAAAGAAACCAAGTGTTGTGTCAATCATTAGCCATGATATGTGGTCCAATAGAAAGACAATAAAATTTTAAGATAATCATTAATCCTAATATGTGTTCCAATAGAAACACACCAAATGTTAGGCTAATCATTAACAATGGTATGTGTTCAAATAGCAAAGAGATGTGTTAAGTTAACCAATATCATGCAAGGTGACAAGCATCTAAGGCCATGTTGAGCTTTACCTTAAATTTTCTTCCTAGATCAAAACACATGGGTAAGTCTACAATCAATAGGCATACAAATGAAGTTTGGTAAAAGATCCACGTTTCTTTCATAAAACTTCACTAAAAATCACTTACAAGTATAGTAGTAGGCACAAAGACATTCCAAGTTTGACAACACCTCCCGTTCTATTAGTAATTAGGTATATATGTAAAATGATCTTAATACAAAATAGAGAAATACAAGTACATAAGAATAGATTTTGATAAAAATATTACAAAAGTTTTGTATCATTGAAATAGTAATCATACTTCTACATACACATGTATATATTTAATATGGGGTATTACAACTTTACCAACATTAAGTGATGGCATTACTAGAATTAAATGATGAGGTGGATAAATGCTAAAGTTTGTTTTCACTAATTGTTGTATTTGGAGCTCTAATCTCCCAAGTCAACCCTTCTAAATTTGCTCAGCTAAAAGCGTCTATTCGGAGATCCAAAGCTCTATAGATGACTTGATAGTTAAAACACACTTTAATATTTCTGCCAAGTTAATCAAGCTCTATTATTTTAATGTTGAAGGTATAGGTCCCTACTAGCCTTTTAAGCTCATCCCAACTAAATTTTGCAGGTATGAAACCAAAAACCTAGAAGTTTACTTTATTTGTTGTCTATATGTAACTTTGTACAAGAAATAAAAATTACTTTATTTGTTGTCTATTATGTTACTTTGTACAAGAAATAAAAAGATGAGCTTGATGTTTTTGCTCTCTTGTTTTAATAAAGAGCTAGTCATGTGTGAACTTTGAGTAGTTTCTAAGTTATAATTTTGGTTGTATTTTACAATGGATGATAAATTGCTCCGCTGAATTTGTTCCAAGCGAATTATTCATGTTCTTATTTTATATTTCATTTCCCACTATAATTATGTTGCTAAGGTTTACAGTTAAGGAGTGAATCACATTCTAAACAAGGTTTACGTTAATACTTGAGTTGGGGCGTGACACAAACCCATTCAACTCCTATATATATATATGAATATAGTTATGACCATCTTTCCTATGAGATTTGATTTGTTCAGATGAAAACAATTGACAAGTTTCATGTTCTTTATTAAGAGCATAAGCTTTGTCAACTGTTTTAACATGATGTTCACTTCTAAATGAGGCTACTGACCATTTCTTTTTGTAAATATTTTTACTTGAAACCTTGGGGATATTCCAATCTCCAAAGTCAACACTTTCATCAATTTGAAAATCAAGTTTTTGTTCTTCATTAACAATATCAGGGATAACGCTTAAACTGGACCTAGAGCTAGTGCTGACCATTGAATTAGATCTAAATAATCTACTCATAGAGTTCACAAATCAAACAAACAGAATACATAAAACTTATACTATTTCACCTTCCTCGTGCGCTGACTAAACCCCTTCCCCGCTCATGCCTCTCCTGGGTCTTATTGTTTGGAACACGCCTTACTGTTTGGTTGGGGAGTTGAACAAACAACTATGAGGACCGACAGAT